ACATTATGGATTAGGTTGTCAAAATCAGATTTCAAATCTCCAATGTAAGAACCAAGTGGACCCTTATGATCGTTCATGACTTTTTTCAAATGTATATAGATGATAATACAATTGAACAGAAATCATGATTTAAATGTCTTTGGTATGAATGAAGAGCGTCTCGTCTAAACACAGCTACCATGCTATCAGAAAGCAGTGGCTACGCCACGTGAATAAGTAGATGTGAGAATTTGGGTGCTCTACAACTGATTTTTGAAGGTCTCGCTGCGAGTTACAAGAGTACATCTTATCATAGTACACTGTTGTGTGAACACTGAAAATATGAGTAGCCATGGCTTCATGTCAGTCGTATCCTGTATTTTCAAATGAGTATTTAGGATGGAACTTATGCATTATATACAAAAGTCAAAGATTACACAACGATATGATATTCAATATCGGCCGTATGGAGACAACTGTTACATAGCTTCGAGAACTTTTCTCTGGTCGAGGTCGTTTAAAGATGTAGACTCTCTCACAGCCAACAGCTGGTTACTATATATCAGAGATCGACCTACGAACGTAGAGCTATAGTATATTTACCGGGGTGACTGGCTTTGGTAGAGACGTTCGTACAATAAAGTAGGGACATAAAGCTAATTAGATTATCATTGCTAGGATATCGGTTAATTAGTTGTATACAGTTTTTTAGCTGAAATAATCGTTCATGTCAACACCGATAAAAGTGGCAAAAAGCGAAAGGTATAAAAAAGTAACTCGATCCTCAGATTTTGAGGACTGAACGTGATCAATGTAATAGGTCACGATTTGGTCCCAAAAAAATATGTGCTGAATTTTTTTACCTCTTTGTTTATGCACACATTCAAAGTCTTATGTCATTCATGATAACTATGGCAGATACTGAATCGAAAATTTCACAGGGCATCAGGCGTGTAGGCCAGCAGATTTCCTACATTATAAGGAACGTACTGCACTTGCGAAATTGATGAATAATGTTTTTTTGTGGTGGGCCTCACAGTATGCTGCTACATACACATGGATAGTGATTTGAGATAATACAATGGTAAAGCTAGTCTAAAGCAAGCACAGTAACGAGATTGTGAGAAGCTGGAACATGTTTAGTGTCCTTCCGCAGAGATTGAACACATGCTAGTATGAATATACACTAATTATGACACTTAAAATTTAGAGAGTTTCTGAGCACAATAACATTCGAGAAAACCGCTGGAATGTCACAGAGAACGAGACATGTAGAGAAGGACTTCGAGAAAGTTGTGCTAAACCAATTATGCGAAAGTTCTTCATCAAATTGTATTAGATCGGCTTCCAGATTTTTCGTGGTGTGGTTGCACTGGCTAATGTTCGAATTATGGTAGAGTAAACAGAGATTCTGATTGGACATTATTCAGATACAATGTATACTATGTATCAATATATCAACGAAGCAGTGACAGGTGTTTGTATAACAATAGTGAGGTCAAGTCATGTTGAGAGTACTTATAATAAGTACAGTGTCCGAGGACCATATTTAGCTAGTCTTTCGTATTCTGCGATGTATATTGAGAAAAAGCTCGAAGAATGAAGTGCTTGGAAATCTTCCACTCATCGTTAGAGTGACGTAGAAGGAAGTCTGACAGAATATGGTAGCATATAATCTGATAGGAAGTATAAGGCCTTCTTTGTAGAATCCGTACTGATAAAAAGATTGTGAACGAAGATAAAACTGCTTGAGGAGCGGAAGCCTTCAACACGATAATAGTGACCGAGAGTGGCGAAGTGATAATAGGTAATATAGGGAGCAAGTATAGTCAACCTAAGAATAGATACGTGTAATACTCTGTTTATCTTTTCCAAACAAGTTTGACGACTGTTGTTTCTCTTCAAGAGATGGTTGTAATTAGCTAGTGCTTGAGAGAATGATAATAAGACAGAGTGTAACAGGATACCTATCTCTAGTGTAATATTTCAAAGCTTCTGAAAGCACGCATCACGAAGATACATCACAGAGCAGGTATTTGCTATTAGCATTACAGATCACTATCGATTCACAGTAAATGGAGCTCTGATGGTTGTATCTTTCCTGTGCGTGGTTGAACTTGTGTGTAAATTGTGACGGAAATTAAAAGTTTTGAGAGGTTTGCTATGGAGGTCGTACGATCTAAGTGCAAAAGAAGTTCGATTATATATTGACTGGTACATTGTAAAGACATGATACACAAGCACGTGCAAAAGTAGACATGGATGTTTGAGAGCTCGTTGAAGACTAGCATCTATTATTATTTTGAGTATAATCAGAGATGATAAATAGGAACATGCATATAGGTAGTTTGGTCTAACTAGTCTTTGGTTAATGAATAAAGCCGAGCGGTTATATCAATAAAATGAAGAGAGTGCAATAAAGAAACATTCGAAACACACGATAGCAGAAGCTTGTTAATCACTCGTAGATACTAGTGTTTATGAGAGGATATCTGACGAGAAATGTTTCTAAAATCTTTGAGAGTAGGAGAGTGGTGCTAGTAGTTGACCCAATTGTGAACAAAATAGCTACCAGGATATACATCATGAGTGTACTTTGCATTTCGAAGCCAAAATGAACTCTCAATGATTGATGGCAGTATTCAAGTTGCACAGTCTTTAATTAAGATTTCGGATTTATTGTTAAACAAGCTTTTGTGACAAGAGTCAACATACTATATCGTATAGAACGCGGCGAAAAAAATGAAACTACTAAAAGTGTCGTTGAGAATATGTAAATCCATAACTCCTCTGCGCTAGAAAAACACTTGTCTATAGTTTGTTATATCATCTAGCGATGTAGTATGGGGTTCGAAATAGCTTACGTAATATAAAGGAGTCTCTATACTCTGTCAGTGACCCCTTTCTGCTCTCAAAAGGCTGAATCCTTATAGAGTTTGATGTACAGCGTTTCGTTAAGCGAGAATCTCAAAAAAGTCATCTCGACAGTTCACGAAAAGGCACAAAAAGTGTCTTGCGATCATTTTGAGTGATGTAGTATTATTTGAAAAATGAGTCGAAAGAATAAGGTTGTACTATATCTCTAGGTATAGTATGGTATAGATGAAAATACTCGTTCTTTCTTAACTGCTAAGATAGACATTTTTGATGAAGAAAATATTACTCTGAGCCGATTTGGAAACAATAGTATGCAAAGACAGAATTCCATTGATATATGTGGGTTGGATATGAGTTAGGGGTAGGAGTATCGGTACAGAATAATAGGTGACGGTCATGCATCACATAAGGTAAACAAAAATGACGTCGATATCCTGTAATTTCTAACTATCATAAGGAATTCCTTGCACAGTCAACTGGTTTCTTGTGTGGGTTTTGGTATTACCTCTCCGTAGAAGTGCAGAGAACACACTGACACTACTCTTAATCCAGAAAGGAGTATCAGACACTGTATAGCCTATTGAAGCCATGATCGATAAAATTTCCTGAAAAATCTTTTCAAGCGGCTGGAGCGATAGAGAAAGAACCGACATCTGAGGAGCGATGTTGTTTTTAGTAGAACGATCTAGTCACAATACATGGTGAAGAGAACTTGTTCTTTCCACGTGGCGAGAGTATGTGACATTTTGGTACGAGTTTATTCACAGTTGGTGGTTTATTTTTTGCAAGTTTATTTCTTTGCATTTATTGAGTAAGCACCGAACATTATAGTCTGGTATAAACTCATCTTGTAGTAAGATCTTGTTGATTATGATGAAAACGTAGCTCATCGAGTCCATAGTCTAAATCCAAAGAAAATGCCGCGTAACAGGAATTTCTGATTTTGAGGTAGTATAAGATCAGAACTGGAGGGTTTGATGTAAGTGTATCTTTGTATGAGCCCATTGGCAGAATTGTGTCGCTCATGAGAATATGTGTTATGGCATAGATCAGAAGTTTGTGGTGAATGAAGATCGCAATTTTAGACCTACGAGAAAATATGTTATATAAACAGAATTATTCGTCAAGCACAGAAAGGACTTGGACGAGGCCACTCAGCGAGAAATGAAAGAGCCGAACTATTTTTACATGGTGAAGAATACTAAGCGGACAGTAATATCGAAGAAGACATAAAAAGTGATTGACGTTCATGGTCTCATTATATAGTATAAACTATAGATATTGTATGGTTTTCAAAAACATAGAATGGCAGCAGCTAGATAGAGAATGAATACTATTGTATCCTTAGAGAATAATTTGTTATCAAGACTCTCGAGATATTGAGTGAATGTCAGAGGCAGATTTGGAAGAGAGCACAAAGTGGTATACTTCAGCATCCATGATTAATCTATAGTCCCTAAGAAAAAAGAGGTAAGCCTTATGTCTTCTGTTGTCGGGTCAGCATATACTTAATTAGAATAATTAGAACATACTGTGACTGTATGTAATCCATAGTTCATATGAGGTTGTCTTCAGCCTTCTATATTCGTCTGTACTAAGGTGCATCAACCGCTGTTTCCTACAAAAGGTAAGATGAAGCGAAAAGATTAGACATTGGTAGCATTTTGAGAAGATAAATTCTTGGCATTACAAAAAAATCATCTGATTTATAATGCGCGCAAAATGGGATGACACACTTTTTCTCAACAACTGCATGCAGAAAATTCTGAGAAGCGAGGAGTGGCCGTAGATGCAGAGATTCTGCTGCTTTGAGAGTACCGTGGCGAAGTCATAAGCGAGCGTACGAGAGAGTCAGAGCATATTGTAAGTAAAACACCAAAATACTGGTCTGGTAGTCTGTGTCAGAAATATAGTAACGAGAGATTAACGACATACTGGATTTGTATGAATATCTCAAATGAGAAGAATTCAGTCGTATAAAGCACTATATGTATCACCGTTCAAATACGGATTATTGGTCTGAAAGATTCCCGAACTACTTTTATAACAATGCGCCGGCAATTATGTAAGAAACCTCGAAAAGTAGTTGTGGTTTTGTGGACAGAAAAAGTGGGGAGAAACAGCAAACTTTGAGTCTTTGTTACTTGAGATTGAGACGTCGTATAGAAACAAATCTTATCAGCAAGAGTGGCAAGTTGATCTAGGGAAATTGTATCAGCAGAGGAAACCAAGATGGGTTGAACTTTAGTCGGTAAACGTTCGAGAAACAACTGACGAAGAATACGCTCCTCGAGCTCTGCATTGCCTAAAAGCTGTCGCATTTTGCGAAGAAGTTGGGTGGGTTTTCGATCACCGAGTTCCTCTGCTACTAGTAACTGATGAAGACGTTTTCGCTCCGAAACAGACGTACGCTTGATAAGCTCGGACTTGAGGTAGTCATATTGTTGAGAAGTTGGTGGATTAAGTAATATGTCGCGAATCTCTTGAGCAACTTCTGGCGGAAGCATGGAAATGACATGGTGATATTTTGTCGATTGAGATGTAATATTGCGTGTCTGAAACTGAGCCTCAACTTGTGCAAACCAAATAGAAGGATTGGAAGGCCAGAACGGAGGTAGCTTGAGACTAACAGAAGTGATGTTCGTAGTGGAAGTTGAAGGAGTTTCAGAGGAAGTTTCGGGAGTAGACATGATGTTGGTGTGTGAAGTAAACAATGGCGCAAGGATAAAATCAAACGTAAACAAATGCAATGAAGACGTCGTGGTTACCAATTATGGAGGCCCTTTAAGATATCTATATACATAAAATAAATGGAACGAACTCAACTATCACACCCCATAACAAAACTAAAATCCACTAAACTGTTTCCATGGATATCAGTTAATGTGCAGTGCAATTAGAAACAACAAAGAGTATTTAAAATGCGTTAAAACAATGGTAATTATGTGTGAACAATAAGAGGACGTGAAAATGCATATAAACAGAATACTAATGAGAACAGTTCACCACAAACTGATC